CGGGCAGAAAGGGATTTCTCTCTGTTGAGCCGGGAATACACTGGTGTGCCTGTTCTCCGGCCTCTGGCGAGCAGCCAGCCTGCTTCCCTGTCCCCCTGCAGCCCCCAGCAGCCCCATCCCAGCCCCTGGGTTGGTGGGATTCCCCTGGGAGCGGGAGGTTTGCATTGTGTCAGAGTCCTGTTTGCTTTATTGAGCTGGACTTGCCTTTATTTACTTAACGAGCCTGGAGACACTCGCTGCTGGGAGAGCCCCAGCCCGGCTGACAGCACCTTCACCCTGCCTGGGGCCGAGGAGTGTTTAACATCTCCCCATTTTGGGCAGGATCCAACCTCTCTCCAAACCCTGCTGGGCTCTGCGCAATCGAGACCCCTCTGTGCCAGGGGACTCTGACACCCCCGTGCCTCCCAGTGCTGGGCATGGTCTGAGGAGGTCTTGGGGGGGTTTGCCATGGGCTCCCTTCTCATTCCTATAAAACTTTGGGTGTGCAAATCCCCCTGATGCTGGGGTGGAGGTTTTGAGCCCCCCTGGAGGCACCTGGGGAGTTGATCTCCACACCCCCCTTCTGCAGCGCTGAGCCAGCAAGGTGACAGTTTTACGCCCCCAAGGCCAGCCCTGTTTCTGGGGGCCATGCTCTGTGGGGACTGTCCCCAGAGCTCACTTGGGAGCCATGACGCCTCATCCTCCCCCCCGTCCATGTTTCCAGAGGCTTCAGCTGCTCGGGAGCGTCTTGAGAAAGTTTCATGCAAACCGCACGGCGTTACCGGAGCAGCACCGGCAGCTGCCAGCCCCAGCGCCCTGGCATGGGCTTGGGCTGCTTTTACCAGGGAAAGGCTTTTGTGACGGGCCATGGGCTTCTCTCTTGCAAATTTAGTGCTAAATTAGAGCCCTCCCTGCCAGCAATGCTCCTCTCTCCTTGTAAAACCTGGGTGAGCCTCCCAGGGCTGGGTTTTGGGGTATGACAGGCAGTAGATCCCCCCATTTGGGTGCATTGCAGTGGGGGTAGCTGGTGTCTAATTAGGAAATGAATTAAATTTCCTCTCAAGGCAGCTGCATGAAAAGCAGCTCCAGTCAAACGGGACGTGACGGGGATGCTGTGAGGAGGCTGCTTTGCATCCCCTTTGTATGAAGCCCGAATGCGTGCGCCAGATTTTGGGACCAGGGTGAATTTGCTGGCCGAGGCGTCCTCGGAGCTGTTGTGTTTCTCTTTGAGTAATTGGGAATGCTGCTGCCGATGGGCTTGTTGCTGCTTGTAGGGCTGCGGGGAGTTTCCTGGGACTTGAGGCTTCAAAAGCTGTCCTGAAATTGCCGTTGGGGAGCTGGAGAGTAGGTGCTGGCACACCGTGCAGCTGGGTTCCCTGTGTCCGTAGGGCTGCTAGTCCTGCTGGGTGGCCGAAGGTGCTGGGGAGGGATGGTCTGGTACAATCCCAGAGGGAGAAGGGTCTGGAGGTGCCCCAAGTCCTGTTCCAGGGCAAAACCAGGGATGGGATGCTGCTGAGCTTCCCATCCCAAATGGGCATCTCTGGATGGGAGATGTCCCTCTGCCACCCTTGGGTGCAGAGGAGAGGGGTGGCACAGGACGCCCATACTGGGGGGGGCTGAGTCCAGCTGCCCCCCCCTGCCCTCCCTGCCGGAGGTTGTAATTGCTTGTAACGAGGCTCTGCTGGCTAATCCATGCCCCAGTGCGGCAGGAGGGCTGCTGGCATTGGAGGAGAGGACGGGAAAGCTTATAGAAATTAGGGGCATTTCCATTTTCCCACTATCCAGCTCCCGGCCCTGCAGCCGGGGGGCTTCTCCGCACCCTGGGTGTTGACCCCCAAACCCTCTCACCCCACGTCCCTTCTGGCCAGGGGGACTTTGGGGCTGGAGAGATGCCCTACTGCAGGGTGCTCGCTCTGTGGATGAGCAGGATACGGCCGCTGGAGGATTGGATGCGTTTATATTTTTCTCTCGGGGAGGCAGAATGGTGGCTGCCCGCAGGGTTTCTGCTGGCTTGAGGGACTTGGGGAGGGTGAAGGTGCCCTGGCACGATGGGCTGGAGGAGCTGCCACCCGCTGGTGGGGGGATGCCAGGGGGGGGCCGGGTCATGGTTTGGCCGGGCTGCCCTCGCACCGGGTGCTCCTACCGTCGCTGGTCGCCTTTGAGGGCTTGGTGCCCCCCTTGCTGCCATGACCTGTCCCCTTGCCCTGAGGCATCTGTCCATCCTGCAGGACTATCCCCGCCTCCTAAATTCAAGGCCCCAGTGTTTCAGGGAGCCTGGGCTGCTGGGGCTTTGTTGGTATGGGTGGAAGTGAAATCCTCCCTCCTCCTCTTCCTCCTCGCCTGGGAGCGCTGCCAGCGCTGCTTGCTGGGTGCTCCCTCCAGCTTTGTCCCGAGCTATCGGCGTGGAGCAACCCCGTGGTGCTGCCAAGGGCACCGGCAGCGTGGGTGCTCACAGAGCCTGAACCCCTTTCCTGGGGATGAGCCAGGGCAGGGACCCGGGAGGTGCTGCCTTCCTCCAGGCTCCACCAACTCCTGCTTTTTGGCTTTGTTTTGGATCTTCCCTGTCCCCACCCTTGCTAGGGATTGCTGCTTGGGTGGAGGGTGCAGTTGCAGCAGCCTGAGCACCCCGTGAACGTGCTACCAGCCGGGCACGGGGACTGAGACAGAGCCCGCAGTCCAGCCCCCTAGCACGGGGGACCAAAGGGCAACCGGGTGAAGTCGAGGTGTCGCAATCCTCCGCCCAGCCGGGGAACCCACTGCTGGTCTGCGGAGGAGACACCAGCAGCTTGTCGGGATGCAGCTGGGCTGTCACACCGGGTATTGCCCAGCTGAGCCATGGGTGGAGCGGGTCCTGTGTGACTGCCAGCGTTGCAGCATCCCGGGCTCACCTTCGCTCCCCGACAGACCTGGCTGGGTGCTTGCGTGCATCTCCCTTTCCGGGGCGTTGGGGAGCGGTGCCAGCGTGGCAGCCGGCCTTGACCCTGCAGGAAGGCGTTGTGCAAGAGGATGGGTTTTTATCGAAGCGTTGGGCTTAGCGACTGCAAAGGCGTCACGCTGGCTCATGTGGGACCCGATGCCACCGCAGTGCTGCCAGACTTGGGGTGCCAGCACCCTGAGGGCCAGGCTTTCCTGGCAGGGGTAAAGGGGATTTCATAGGAAGAAGGGAGTGTGCTGTACAGGGGGTAAAGAGCTGCACAGTGCAGGTACGGTAGGGAAAATTCCTGCGGGGAATGTCCTTAGTGATGCTATGGGCACTAAAGAAGAAAGGACAAATATTAAATCTCCTGGTGAGGAATATGTCAGGAGCTTGAGTGCAGCTTTGCTGCTGGGAAAGCCCTACCAAAGCCCAGGAGCTGGTGGTCAAGGCAAGATCAAACCATTTTATATATAAATAGGTAGAAATGGTGTTTGGATGCTGGGATTGGAGCAGGTCTGACAGTGCTGGATGCAGGTGGCTGGTTTGTGTCGCCTGGTTCCTCTGATGCTTCCCAAGCATCCTGCTCCCTGCCAGGCAAGTGAAGGCAGCTCCTATTTGCCAGGCTCCTGGGGATGCTCCTGCTTCTCCCTGCTGCTCACAGTGTGGGGAACTGTGCTCTTAAAGGGCTCGTGGGGGGCTGGGTGTGGGGCTGGAGCTGCCCCAGTTGGGTTCCCCAGCTCTGGGTGCTGGTGGATCCGCAGGTCAGGATGAAACCGGGCTCAGACAAGCTGGGTGTTGCCTCCTGGAGAGGTGAACATCCCATGTCGCACCACCCCAGTCGAGCTGGTTTCTCTCTTTTGCAATCGCAGAGGGTCGTGCCGGGGCATCTTGGCACGATCCCAGTTGCCTGCCCAAGCCTCGTGTGTCCCTTCCCTGCTGGCAATGGCTGCGGGGTGCTTTGGGGTGGGGGTCCGGCTGGTCCCATGGCTGAGTTTGCTGTGGGAGGGGGCTGTGGCTTGCAAGGCGGTGGTGGAGGTGACCTGCCCCAGCAGCTGAGACTTACCCCATAGCAAAGGCTTCCTGGGTGGGGTGGGGGTGCTTCCCAGCAGCCTGGGCTGTGTTTCCTCCTCCACCTTCACGTGGCACTTGCAATCCTGATCCCAAAAAGGAAGAGTGTGGTCTGGAAACACACATAATAACGTGTTTCTTTAAGGTTTCGCTGCAATTAGCATGCCCTGCACCTAATTAATTAAGTAGAGCCTAGGTGGTGGTTTGGCAACCCGTCCCAGCTTGAGGTGTCTGTGGGTGCAGGTGGCCGCCTGAGGATGGTGACCCTGCCACCCAAGCAGGCATCTGGTGGTCCTGGTGCTGTCCCTGGGGGGTCCAGGAGCAGCTTTCCCACAGGCTGTCCCCGTTGCAGGAGGAGCTGCGGCCTCGGCTGTGTTGCATGAAGAAGGGCCCCAACGGCTACGGCTTCAACCTGCACACAAGACCCGCCCGGGGCAGTACGTGCGTGCCGTTGACCCCGACTCGCCGGCTGAGGCCGCGGGGCTGGCCCCCCAGGACCGCATCATTGAGGTATGCCGGGGCTGGGGGGACATGTCCCCAAATAGCTCAGTGCTCCCTGACATCCCGGTGCCCAGGAGGGAGCCGCTCTTTGCCGGGATGATGTCCCCAGCACCAGCGGTGACTCACGGCGCAGCCGCCTGACCCGCTACCAGTCTGTCAGTCCCCACCCAGGGGTGCAGCGGGGCAGGCAGCGGGGAGCAGCTCCGCAGAGGGCTGGGGCTGAGCACTAATTAGCTCTCTGTGGGTTAAGTGGCAGTAGCGCTGTCCTCAGCCCTGAGCAGGAGTGTCCCTGGGGTGGGGCAAGCGGAGGACAAGGTGCACGGTGGCCCCAGGCCCTGCTGCCGTGACTGGGGTGGGGACTGGGACAGGGTTTGTACCAAGAGGGATGGTGACCCGCGAGGGCCAGCTGCGTTCCGACCCTGCTGCTCACGAGGGTATGGGGCTGCTGCCTCTTTTGGGGCGAAGCTTTGGGGGCTCAAAGGACTGTGCCATGGCACGAGGGCTTTTTGCCTTGCCCATGCTGCCCGTCTCCTGCGCCAGCCCCAAGTCCGTGCCCTGCCGGGTGCTCAGTGCCAGCTTTGGCCATATGATCCCGTGCTAATCACTCAGAGGCAAATCTGCTTTTAATGAGGTTTTGCTGGCTTCACTG